AATACATGATTTTTGATAAAAAGTGACTTGGAGTACTATAATAAACTTACAAAAAACTACAAAGAGTAGCAGTTAATTCAGCATAATATTCTCTTCAGCAGGTTTCAAATACAATTTAAATGCTTTTTTTTTTCATGTTTGTACCTTCGCTATAATTGTTTTTTTATTCTTAACCATGTCTATATTAGTGATGCTTGATGAAATCGTATAATGCTAATTATCATATGCTATTACTATATAATTTATAGTAATTACAAGTTCAAACTATTTAACTACACATTATTTGGATATAAATTAATAGCTCAGATAATTGATTAATAATGATAATAATCTCTATAAAATTTTTTAATTGATTACAACTATCTAGATAAGCATTAAATTAATTATAATCAATTACTTTGATATTGATTAGCAACTAATATTAATAATTATCAATTTTTTAAATCAATAATAATTGACTCTACAGCAAGTAATCGATGCCAACTCTATTTAAAGATTTCTTGATAATGATAAAGAACAAGCAAGATTACATAGCAATAAAAAAAAAGAAGCATTGATATAGAGGAATCAAATAGTTTATACTTTACTGAAGTTGCCTAATGGGTTTGCAGCTGTTTTGATTTGCTAAGAATTACTTTTTTCTATAAAAATATTTAGTAAAGCAGATTGTAAATATATCTAATAGAAAAAGACAATATTTACTTAGATATAGATTTGAGCGTTATACTACACCACTATTTCTTGTTCTGAACAATTCTGATACTGGTAATACTATATTACCAAAAACTTAAAATATTGTCCAAATCATTAAAACCTATATTGCTGATGATTTTTCTGATAGCTATAATATTAATGCAGATAAAGATTCAGATGAAGAGGCTCATACTTATATAAAATTGAATTAGGAATTATTTAAACAGATTTTTAGAAGGATCTGTTCAGAAAAAGCTAATAATAATTAGTAGTATGTTGGTGCTATAATGAAATGAAGCAAACTAGTTACAATAGAAAAATATATTTAAAGTGTAGAACAGCAAAGAAAACAGCAACCAATCTAAGTACCAGAAAATAGTAAAAAACTACTATAGTACACTAACTAAAAAACCCAGAGTCTAATACAAATACTTAACAAAAAACTTACAAAAAACTGAGAATATTATATAGCAGTGTATCAATATTACAAGAAAAAAATTTTTCTAACATATACATATTTTGTATTTACAATAAGCAGTCTAAAAATTTAATAAAATCTATATTTAATTAATAAAGATCTTGTGTTTTGTACCAAGTGCTTTTCAAGGAGGATATTAAAAAGAAAGATACTTTAGTTAGTGCACTATGGTATATCTCATATATTTATCATGCTCTGAAAAACCAAAATTAGTATAGTGACTTAGTGTAGTAGTCTAGTTATTATTCTTTTCAAGTAGCAGGTCTAGAGTTCTAATTCTATAAATAACAATTTTAAAAAATAGCTCATATTACAGTTGATAGTTATTAATTATTAGTTGGATCTAAAATCAAATCTGTAATCTTGGTCATACTATCTAGTTATGAGAGCTTTGGTGCAATAAATTCAAAAAACTGAAATAACTGAAAACCTATTTGAGAAGTTCCAAATTTGGAAGTAGCAGTGATCTTTGACAGTACTACAAAAAGGCTAAATTTAAACCAAAGTACAAAATTAGAAAACTGAATGATCAGGTTCTTAAGTGAGGAGATACACTAGCCAAACCACCAGGCTGATACATCAGAGAAAAAGAATATATGCTCTAAAAGTATGAACCAAAAGGAGGCAACTGTGAGGTATCTAAAGTCTAGACAGACTAACCTTTTTAAGTTGCCAACTAGAAGACTACTAGAAGTAAGGAAGGAACTGATAAGAAATCCAGGTAAGAAGATAGTTTAAATATAAATATCAGAGTTGTTATAAACCAGATAAGGGCAAATAAGTACATAATAAATGCCTAATTAGAAAACTTGGTGTTTGAAAAACATCTATAAAATAGCAGCACCCCAAAAAGTGGTATGAGATATGTATATAAAATGGCAAATTAATATGTACTAATTAGGAAGAAGTTATAGAAACATGCAGACAGAGTTGGCAATGGATAAGCTCCATTGGGAAAATTAACCAATGAAGCCAATCAAGTGAATGAATAGTATCCATTGGTTCTATTGGCTCTATTAGCTCCATTGAATTAGCTATATTATTAATTATATATATATTAATTTATAAAATTATTAATAACTTTTGATCCACTAAACCGTTTTGAGTGATTTAACTACCAAAATATTCGTTATGATATGAGGATTCTAACAAGTCCAAATCACTAAAATCTAATTATAAAGTCTCAAGATTACTTAATTTTTGTACGATTTTACTAAAAGTTAAAAACTTTATTAAAATTGTACAAAAATTAAATGATCTTGAGACCTTATAATTGGATTTAGTGATTTTGAGCTTGTTAGAATCCTTATATCATGACAAACATTTTGGTAGTTAAATGATTCAAAACGGTTTAGTGGATCAAAAGTTATTAATAATTTTATAAATTAATATATATGATATATATAATATATATATATATTATAATTTATAGTTATTATGTTGGCTTCCATTAGCTCCATTGGCAAATTATTCCTAATGAAGCAATAGAGCAATGCCAATAGAAATCTTCTCCATTAGACCCAATGGATAAATGTGCCAACTCTGCATACAGGTGAATATATGTGTAAGATATATACTGCTCTGTTAGATTTACTTTGAGAATAGACTAGTTTAAGTTGATAAGTTCTAAGATAGAATACAAACTTCTTATAGATGATATCAAAATTTACTTGTACATATTTGAGATTAAAGGGCTATTGGTAATAGTTAGAACCAGATAGTTTAAATAGGTATCTTTGTAATCAGAGTGTAGGTATAGCAGATAGTATAGAACCTTCAGGCAGACTACTTAAATTAGGCATCAAAAGTGCATATATGGCTTGATATATTATTATTATAATTATACTATAAAACACTAGCTATACAGTAGTATATAAGTGGGATATATATAATACAATAGGTTTGAAAACTATCTGATGATTTAGAAACTAGTCTAATTGCAGGATAGTTAATAAGAAGATAAAATCTCATATAGCAAATTATATATAAATACTTAAATTAGTAACTAGGTAAGCTAATACAGTACTTGTAATTAATATTAGATAGTTGTAACTAGGGAGTGGAATGGGCCGGGTTGGGCCAGGCTTTCATGAGCCCAAAACCAAGGCCGGAAAATATTTATATACCCAAGCCCGGCTCACTAAAAAAAAAAGCCTGTGAAGTATATACCAAACCGGGTTTTAATTTTAAACTAGGCCCGGCCCAACCTGGCCTATAAAGAACTATGAAATCATTGTGTGTTAAATACAATGAAACATGAAATTTGGTACTTAAACTTCATGATATTGCATTATATAGCACTATATTTATAAGATTTGTTTAACTATAATAAATGTTCAACTTGTATTTTTTATTGCTTTAATAGGTTAAAGTCATAGCTTCAGATTAAGCCATAGTTATTGAAACTATGACTTGTGTTATAGCTAAAGCATGACTTGGGCTATACTCAAACTGTAATAAATTACTATATCGATACAGTACTGCAGTAGCATTGTATAAATATTATTATGTAGCTATAGTAATAATAATTGTAAGATAATATAATATTTAAAAAAGCTTAATATCTTTAAAAATCTTTAATAGGCTGAAATTGGTCTACAAAACTCTTTATTATATAATGGGTTTTTACATGATATTTTTTTTTATTGAACATTATCAATTAATATATTAATTAATTTCTTGTTAAATTTTTGTTTATATTAATTGAAATTCTCTTAAGCATGTAATTAATATGCCGAAGCTCGACTTCTAATTTGTGGAAAGTGGTTTACTAGTAAGTAGATTTATTATCTTAATGAAAAAAAATTTGAAACTACCTTTTTTGTCAAAGACTTGTTCTGATTGGCTAAAATTTATTATCTGCATTTTGAGATATGAATCTTTAGCAAAATTACAGTAAGGATTGCTTTAATTAAATTGTAATACATTTTGTACAATCTTGGTAGCTAGCTAATCACATTGAGAGCACTATTAGTTTCTAGGTTTAGCAATTATTTATTTATTTGATTGATTTAAGTATTTAGAGGGCCACCAGAAATCAGCTGATTTCTTAGAGGAGGGTTCACGGTCCAGTTAGATTATTTATAGTACTTGTTCTCTGATTGGCTAGTACTAATAGTTATACAATCCAAAAAACGCCACCCAGGTCACCCGATGAGTGGGCCCTTCAGTTAGAGTTAATACCTCAATCTGGATATATTTTTTATATCCGGATTAATCTGGTTTTATTATAGTATAAATCTGGATATAAATTTAAATCCGGATTTATTTATATCCGGATATAAAAGCATTATGTCACGTGACATAGTATATATCCGAATATATAAATCCGGATAGAGGTATTAACTCTACCTTCGGTCACCTGGGTAGAACCTGTATCTGGCTTATTATTTACATGAACTATTCTGCTTTGGCAAGACTCAACTATTTCACTAAGAGTTGATTTTAGTTCTTTATTTAGTTGCTCAACTTTTGCTACAAAAAAAATCTACCTAGACAATTAATATATATCTCAGGTATGAAATTAACCTCTATCTATATATATACTCAATAATTTAAGTTTTCAGCAAGTCCAATCACTAGACTTTATGTCAATCTTTTTATTTTAAATAAATATGCATATACTCCATGTATGAGAAATCAATAATATGATTTTTTTGATCTTTTTATAAAGAAATATAACATTTAAAACTTAAGTATTCTTTTATTCTTTTAACTCCACACTTTTTATTTTAAACACTTTCTCATTTACCTTCTTGTCTGTTAGAATACTATGTATTATGAAACAGTTAAATTAATCTAACTGCTATTCATTCTAACTATACTTCCTTTATCTAAGCGTTTCACTATTGGAAAGGCTATATTTGAAATCAATTTCTTCAGATTGTGTAAACATGTATAGCTCTATAAGCATATAGAGTTGAGAGTATATAAACTCATGTATTGCTAAATTAGAATTTTGAGATTTACGAGCAGAATGTTGAGACTGTTTATGTTTTTAAACAAAATTCAAGGTAGAGAAATACTTTCAATATTCTGAATAACATAAACGCTAATGCATTTTTTTTGAAATAGTCGGACAATATTTGTTGTAGGGTGAAATTTTGACTTGATCAAAGTATTCAAGAATATAAATAGGATTTAAAAAATGCTGATCATGTCCTTTAATCATTGGGGGTAAAAATTCATTGTTTTCTTGTAAATAAAGTAGTTGCTTCAGGTATGCGGGATGGCTTACAACAAGTTATATTTCTACATTTACAAATATCAAGCGAATAGTGACAAATTTGACAGTGGTCTTTAATCCATTGCCATGAGATTTCATTATCATCAAACATATTAATGTGCGTATCCACATATATAGCTCTAACATTCTTTCCATGACTTTGATCATGTTGCCAAATATCACAAAGCTTTTCTCCTGGGAATAGGATTATATACAAATGTTATAATTTTGCATTAAGTAAGTAGATTAGTTTTTTAAAACTATACCTGAGAAATGAAAATTTTTTTTTACCAATTCTTTATTAATAACTTTTCTCTGAGAATTGAGATGAGTACTATAATGATCTATAGATAATACGATTCCAGCTAACTTTGACAAGAGAGATGCCATGCCTCTTTCCACAGGATTAAAAAAAGACTGACCAGGTGCATGGGTATGAACAGTCGAGATCCAAGAAATGAAAAAGTTTACAATATTCTATGATATTTTTTAGGTGTTTTGGATTTTTATCTGGCCCACTGTCAACTAATAAAACCCACAATGACTTAATTTTTTCTTCTATGCGGATAACTTCAACATAGTCTTCCGAATTCATTATTAAAATCAAATCAGCCATATGTGTCAGTGCAGTTGTACCTACAAAATATTCGAGTTGAATATAAATTGTAAGGTGTTCTGAACGAAAACTATCATTTGTATCGTTTGGATTTATTAAAAGATATACAGATAAAATCAGTTTTATTTTCTTGCCTAAAGAAAAATTATAGTTAGATATAGAAACAGGTTCATTTATTGTTTCAATTGACTTGAATGTTCGTCTAACCGCTGGAATCCCCAAAGGAACCTTTGACTTATCGTTTTGAGATATTATTATAGAATGATCATGAAAGATTGCAGCAAATATCCGAGCACTTTTCACAGAAGCGAGACAATAATGACTATCTGGATGATCCAATTTTTCATCTCGTAGCACCGATTAAATTTGTACTAATGTGGGGTGGTGGTGCCATTTTGCTGCAAAAGTATTTGAATGTTTTGGCCAAAGGTAGGTCAACAGAGTTTGTCTACTAATATAAAGGTTATATTTTTCTTCAAGTTTATCTTTTAAATGTTTGATAGTTCTAACTTTTATTATTATTTTTCTTATTTTTTTATCTGCTTCGCTATATTCAATGCAATCATGAATGTGTTCAAGGAGGTCCAGGTTTTGTGCAAGAATTGATGGTCTTCTAGCACCCTTCCATTGTTCAATAATACCTTCTTCTTCAAGTTGTTTTTTGTTTTTTAGCCATCATTTGGGCTTGATTTGCTGCATGCCGTTTAAGTGCTTCGATTTTTTTATTGTTGGTTCCGATGATATCTTTTTGCTCTTATATTCTAACAGCAAGATCGCTTCTAATACTAGTATCTGAAGCTATATTGTACAAAGATTCGAATTCAGTAATCTTATTTCTTGCTGTTTTAATTTTTTCATATAAAGCTTTTTGAGCAGAAGCATTGGGACATATTTCATATTCTTTAAAAATAAAAGAAGAAAGTGTGTAGATACTAAATTACTTGGTTGAGATGATTTATGACGACTAGAATTCATACTGACTCCGATTGCTTGCAACAGAATTGGAGTATTCAAAAGAATTCGTATTTCTTCTTGAATAATATGTCATTGCCTTTTTTTTTGATCTCATGCCATTTTTCATTTCCTTTTTCAACTAATTTAAGTTTTGATGTGATGGATTCGTGGTCAGAACCATTTGATTATAAGCAAAGGCGTTCATAAAATGTTGATACAAGGTATTTGTATCCGGATATAACAGCTTTTTATTGAATTTTGGCATACTTAAAAACATTTGTATTTCAATAACAAAATTAGCACTAAAAACTTATTCGAAAGGGTTTAATATATGTTTTTTTTATTATGTTTTATTTAATATATATATATTTTTTTTTATACTTTTTGATTAGTAAAAATCAGCTTTTTTATAATTAATACGATTACAGATAAGTCTTTATTCAATTATATTTTTACTGCATTACAATAATTAATTTTATTTTATTTTGTTTAAATTATTATTTACTCGGTACATCAAACCAAAAATGCAAAACAAAATTCTTCTAAATTCTATTTTATTTTGAAATATATGCAGTGTTAATAATTTATTATTCAAATTGACTGTATTAATATAACTTATACAAGGGGGTCATGTCCAAGTATATCAGAATTGATAAATTTTACCCAAGATTATAAAAAATTTTGGTAACCCTCTTGTAAAATTTGTATACATTTCTTATACATGCTTGTAATCGATTTTATGCGGTTTAAATCCAAAATTGACATGGCCTGATCCTATACCTCTGCATTGGTTTAAATAAACCGCATTTACACATGCTTGTAATTGATTCTATGTGGTTTAAATCCAAAATTGACATGGCTCGATCCTATATCTCTGCATTGGTTTAAATAAACCGCATTTACAAATATATTTTTTCCCACAGCTGTATTAAATTAGCTTGTTTTATTTAAACCAATGCCAATAGGGTAGGTAAATTTTAATTATAATAGTGCGCGGGCACATTATGGTGCAAAAAGTTACGGGCTAACTTCCCGAAGCCCATTTTTCTGAAATACTATTTTGCTAAGATCGAGTGCATATATATCTCCCATTTCTGCTACTTTTTGATAATACATGTATGCTTTATGTATATTTGTTTCAACTCCGATTCTATAAACATAACAGTATCCAACATTACACGTTTCAGCAGCGTTTCCCATCACTGCTGGTTTTGGTAATAAACAAATGTCTTACGTAAATCCCTTACAACACCAATTCCCATTTTACTAACGGAACATAAATAGATCGCCATTTCACTGACAATCAATTAACAAGTTTAAATTTTCTAAAAATTGCACTAATCTTAACTCTATTCTAAACCTGTCCCTAATGACAATGTCCAGAAATAAACTGTCGTGAACTAAGTTGTTGGTAAAGTGATTTTCAGATAAAACGAACAAATCAGAAATGATCCAGAAAAATTATGGAATCAGAGCAATAGCATTTCGGGAAGGTAGACTTTTGAAAAGTGAAATAGAAAAAAAGCTATGATCAAATGTTGGTGAATCGCACAGGTCTCCAACTGGTATTACAGTTTTTTTCTCTTGAAGTTCCTGTTCTTGCTCGGGTTAAAAGCTTTGGTGATAAGTATACTCAGCAATTCTTTGAAAGAAAGAGTTACATAATTCTGATATGAACTTGATTTAAAACAGATATACAAATCAGATTCATATAGGAGTTCAAATACAATATCAGAATGCCGATATCTTTATAAGTAAATTGATAATATAGCTTCGATATTCTGACTTGTATTGAATGTCTATATGAACCTGATTCGTATCCTAAAAGTCTTTTATTTGCAACAAATATTTGGCTTAAACCAGGTTCATATTAGAATTATATGGCCGGTTGGAAATAAAGAATTTGTACCCTTGTTTGGAACTTTTTTTTTTTTTTTTTTGTTGCTCTAGTCAGGTAGAGAGGGGGTAGCCCTTATAGTAAACTGAAATTAGGTGATTTCTAGCAGCCCCCTTAATATGAGCTGTTTTACTTACATTTAGCTTTTTATCTACATTAGTTTGTATAATTATTATTTGCAAAGAATATTTCTAATTATATAGATTAGCATAACCAGATCTGTACAGCATAGATGTAAAATACCCCTATACTTAATATCTATTTCGGGTATAATATGTTTCTTAAAGAGGTATTTTACACTCTATACTATATACATCTAAAATCTTATGAGATTTCGTATTTGTTTAAATTATATTGTCTCATATTAATATAGTTATGCTGTATTTAGTTGTATATCCGATATTTATTTTATCTGAATTCAAACCAATATATAACTCTGTATTAGTGACAATGTTAACTATAAAGTTACCGAGTCTTGTAAAGTAGTACCATATCTATAAACAAACATGTGGTTGCATTCTACTAGACCGTCCAAATTTGGGAGATAAACAATGCTAATCTTTTGTAAGGAATAAGCCAAATCTCTACTTTTTGTCGAAAAATTTTGGAAAAAAGGCAAAGAAGTGAAAAAAGAATAGTAGGAACTACTTGGTCAGAAAAAAAGAGTATGGCTTGAAGGAAGCCCGTTCTTTACTGTTTCCTAGTTGTTTTGCAATTGATAGCTTCGTCGACAGAAGGTTTGGACTTCTATCACCTCCACCTATCTACTAAAATTTCGTATATGAGGGCACTATCTTCTGCCAGTTATCTTGTATACAAACACTTTTAGCTTGCATGCTAAATATATAAAGAAGTCCCTGAGATAGCAAAAGGTTAACTTTTATAAAAACTGCCTTGTTGAAGTCACCTTACTACAGGTTACTACTCTTCAGTATTGAAAATAGGCTTTTCTTTTGTCAGAAAATTTGGTCCAAATAATCGTTAGAAAGAGTGTTATATAGTAAATATTTTAGTATTGACAAAATACTGTATAAATATAAACAATATAAACTATTGGATATAAATATTTATAAACTATGTTTATATTGTTTATTTTTTTTTAATTTGGTAGTCTTGCCAATACTGTTTATTAGATTTACACTAAGGTATTTTTGGTTACAAATATTATCCCTTAAATTGTAACACAGGCAAATTTGCCTGCAAAGATTTTTACTAATTTTTTTAATATTTAAATTTTTTAA